AAATCTGAAGCCTTTGAAAAGTTCAAGGAGTTTAGGAATGAAGTAGAGAAACAGCGTGGCAAGATGATTAAGACATTACGATCAGATCGTGGTGGTGAATATTTGAGCCATGAGTTTCAGGATTATCTGAGAGAAAATGAAATTCTCTCGCAGTTTACTGCACCTTACACACCACACCAAAATGGTGTCTCCGAAAGGAGAAACAGGACCTTGTTAGACATGGTCAGGTCTATGATGAGTGAGACTCAACTTCCAAAATCATTTTGGGGATATGCCCTAGACACAGCGGCATACCTTCTAAATAGGGTACCGTCTAAATCTGTTCAGACCACACCATATGAGATATGGAATGGTAAGAGACCCAACCTGAGTTACCTCAGGGTATGGGGATCGCCAGCTTATGTCAAAGCGTTAGCATCAGACAAGCTTAGTGCTAAGAGTACTAAATGTCTATTTGTGGGGTATCCCAAAGGTACTAAGGGATACTACTTTTACTCCATGAATGAACACAAAGTATTTGTGTCAAAGAATGCTGAGTTCCTTGAGAAGGATTTGATCTCTCAAGGAACCAGTGGGAGTAAGATTGATCTTGAAGAAGTTCAAGAACCACATGAACAGATTGAGGAACCCAAGTCTGCTCCGCAGGCGACGTTCTCCAATGGAGAAGTAAACACACAACTCCGTAGGTCAACGAGGGGCATCCATCCACCTGAGAGGTATGGGTTTGTGATTGAGAATCAACAAACCATCGAGGATGATGAACCAAGTAACTACGAAGAGGGAGTCAAGGATGTTGACTCTTCTAGATGGCTTGAAGCCATGGGATCTGAAATGGATTCGATGTATCAAAACAAGGTATGGACCTTGGTTCCTAAACCGCAAGGAATAGTTCCTATTGGTAACAAATGGGTCTTTAAAAGAAAGACTGATGCAGATGGCAACGTTCAGACCTACAAAGCTAGGTTGGTTGCGAAAGGGTATCGTCAAAGACAAGGAGTTGACTATGATGAGACTTTCTCACCTGTTGCCATGATCAAATCTATTAGGATCATGCTTGCAATAGTGGCATATCACGACTATGAAATTTGGCAAATGGATGTCAAGACCGCCTTCTTGAATGGGTTCTTGAAGGAGGATGTGTACATGACACAACCTGAAGGCTTTGAAATCAAAGATCAGGAGCATATGGTATGCAAACTTCAAAGGTCGATATATGGGCTAAAGCAAGCATCAAGGAGTTGGAATATTCGTTTGATGAAGTCGTTAAGAGTAACGGTTTTATCAAGAACGAGGATGAACCTTGTGTTTACAAGAAGGTTAGTGGGAGTAATGTCGTCTTCCTAATACTTTATGTAGATGACATATTTTTAATAGGAAATGACATCCCCACATTACAAACAACGAAAGAGTGGCTTTCAAAAGGCTTAACCATGAAGGATTTGGGAGAGGCGGCCTTTATACTTGGTATAAAAATCTATAGAGATAGATTAAACAGGCTGCTGGGTTTATCTCAATCCACGTATATTGACAAGATGCTAAAGAGGTTTAGCATGGAAAGGTCGAAAAGGGGTTTTCTTCCCGTCAGTCATGGGGTACATCTTTCAAAGGCCATGTGTCCTAAGTCACAGGCTGAGAAGGATCGCATGAGTGGAATTCCATACGCTTCGGCTATTGGATCCATCATGTATGCCATGATATGTAAGAGACCAGATCTCTCATATGCTTTAAGCATTACGAGCAGATACCAGTCGGACCCTGGAGAGGGTCACTGGACGGCAGTCAAGACCATCCTTAAGTACTTAAGAAGAACTAAGGATGTGTTTCTGGTCTATGGTGGGGTTGATGAGCTAACAGTGAAAGGGTTCACTGATGCCAGCTTTCAGAGTGACAAAGATGACTGCAAGTCACAGTCAAGGTTCGTATTCACCCTAAATGGTGGGGCAGTATCTTGGAAGAGTTCCAAGCAAGAGACAACAGCAGATTCAACGACAGAAGCTGAATATATAGCTGCTTCAGAAGCGGCTAAGGAGGCCGTGTGGATCAAGAAGTTCATATCTGAACTTAGGGTGGTTCCAAGCGTGGATGAGCCCATACAGTTGTTGTGCGACAACACTGGAGCCATTGCGCAGTCAAAGGAACCTAGGTCTCATCAAATATCTAAGCACGTGCTCCACAGATATCACCTGATTAGAGAAATCATTGATAGGATGGATGTAAAGATGGATTATGTTCCCACAGATGATATCCTGGCCGATTCTTTGACAAAGGTTGTTTCTCAGAGAAAACATGATAGTCATTATGAGGCTTTGGGTATACGACTTAGGTCTGATTGGCTCTAGGCCAAGTGGGAGCTTGTTAGTATATGGATGTCCTAGAGACAATCTTTTGATTAGATTAGGACATATGTAGACCTTTTATATTGTCGCAAATAAAAGCACTATTTATCCTGTTTCATATTTTGTCTCAATATTACTATTAATATTTATATGAGTAACTGGATAAACCCCTTGGAATAAAATAGGTATCTCTTGAGTATCTGTGATGAGATCACGATCATGAGGATTCAAGGATACTGCATGTTTATTCCTAATTTTATGTTCCTAGTCTAGAGACACTGAGAATGGGAATCAGTGATCTCGGGTAAGACTAGCACGACTTATCTACTTGTATTTGGATGCAAGGTAAAGACCTCATGAGCTACAGATATAGTGATGTCTTAGCTAAAGTCGTGGGTGGACCTATAAGGGTATAGCTCGCACTGAACAGACCCACAAAGAGACTCTATGAGGAACTCTCACAGAGAGTATCATTAGAGTAGTCTCTTTATATTTGGGTATGTCTTTCCTAAGACCAGAAGTTATTACCTAGACTGTGTTCTAGAAGGCATGCTTTGATTGTGCACCTCGTCTGCCTGAAACATGGAGACTCATAGGTATACTGTTGGGCTTGTCCTTAAAGAACACAGGACTAGGGTGATAAGCTGAAGGAATTCGTCAAATCTCTGTGAGAGATTAGGTTATCTGTAAACCGGAGAAATCGGGATGACATTTACAGGGACTCGGGAATCTATGCATAGTAAAAGAGATCATGAGATGATCTGCCTTTAGAGTCTGTAAATTGAAGATTCCCTATTTCGAATAAAGCTTACGCTAAACCGCAGGTGTTGATACGCTTCCTTACCCTAGGTTTTATGGGAAGGTAACCGAGACGAAAGGAAATATATACGGCAACCAAATATGTGTAATAGCAAGTCATTAATCTAACTAGTTCTGGGGCAACAAAGCATTGCTAGTGCTCTGTGTTGTCATTAGATGGGTTGTGGGCTTATTGGGCCCAAACCCATTTATGTCAGTGGCTATGTTGGACCTAATGGGTCACACACTAAAACCTAATTGTCTAGATGCTCTAGCATTAAAGGTATTGGGCCTAACAATTGTTATTAGCCCAAGAAGTAGTTTGGAACTCCACAGATAGGGTGGAAGGCGCATGGATCAAAGTAATGGGCTTTGATAGTCCAAGACATTACTAATTAATTTAATTAGTTAAATTAATTATCAAATGTTTAAATTTTGAATTTGAAATTTGAAATTTAAAATTTGAATTTTGAAATTTGAAATTTGAATTTTTAAATTTGAATTTGAATTTGAATTTAAAATTTAAGTGTTTGAAAGTTTAAATTCAAATGTTTGAAATTCGAATTTGAATTGGCTATGAAAAGTTGTTTCATAACAAAAGGATAATATGAGATCTTGTTGGAACATATCAGGAGGAGATCTTTTGGACATAATCCAAGGATAATGGGGTGCTGATTTTGGCTAGATTTGATCATCACAATCAGCTCCAGAAGATACGGTCTGTTGGGAGAATATTTGAGTGAGTTGATTTAAGTTTGAAATGCAACTAACTCAAATGTATCTGGTCACCTTTTAGGCTATATGTGGCGCACCATATAGCTGATTATATGATGGTTCATGATCAGATTTCTGACTAGGTTTTGAACTTAGTCTCATGAGAATATTCTGGGATGTTGTTGGCAATTTTTGAAATGCAACAACTCCACTTATTCTCTCCCCATAGGGCGCCACTTTGATCAGATTTTTGGGAGAAAAATCTAATTTGTGTTTGAAACTTAAAAGGCTCCTCTTGTGTGCTTAAGTAGCAGTTAGTTCCTCCTTAGGTTTTTGTGAAAAAGGCCAAGCCTTTCTCTACTCATCTATGCGCCCCTTGTGAGGTTTTCTCTTAGAACACTTCACTCTTCTAAACACTTTTACCTAGCCTCCTGCATCACACACTGAGCGCATAGCAAGCCTTATTGTGGTGATCAATCGGCGGCCTTACTGGAAGGAGTTCCTGTATCTAGACGCGGGTGGTGTGGATCAACGTTAGAGGGTCTGAACCCTTCAGACCTACCTTGATCATCTTGAGTTTTCACGAACAAGGTATGACATACGTCTTAAAGTATGTATCTTGATATGCATGTGTGTTCCGCTTGCAAAAAAATTTGTTTTTCCCTCACTCGTGTTTCGGCCTTCAAAGCCAATTCTACTTTCATCCAATACAAAGGACAAAGGATAATTAGCTTCAACAAATAGAACTAGGTCACCGATCTAGCACTAATAGAGCGCAACCGTGAGACAAGTGCACAATATTGATGACTATATAAATAATGTCAAACTTCCAAGCAAGTATGAGGAAAGATTTAAATGTATCAAATGTTAGAAAAGAATATGCTAAATCTAAGACAGGAAAAAGAGAATACAAGGAAAACATATAACATATGTGTCCAGTGCTTCAATGCCAAAATAACAAGCCATTTGACACTATTTAACAGTCATTCATAATCTACAACATTAAGATTTCAGTTGACATTTTTTAAAAGTTGTTTTTTAAGTATCAAATACATGGAATATGACATGATATGCTGCAAATTAAATTTCTAGGAATAAAACAAAGTAAAACAACTAACAAGAGAAATCAAACTATTAATTAAAGCACCCCACCTGGATTGAGGCATTGCCAGCAGATGCAAATGGTGGAACATTGTCCGAGCTATCATTTGGAAGGAGACCATTACTTCCACCTGATGCATTGCCTCCATTTAAGTCAAATTGGTTTCCATTTTCCTGTACAAACTGAGTTAGATTATTTTTTGAATTCATTTGGGACATTCGTGAATCATCATTATAAGTTCCATTCCTCTCTCTCGCATCAGCCAGCTCAAGCTGCAGTTGTTGAATAGCATGCAAATGAAGTCTCTCCATCTCTGCAAACTAAAGCCACCAAACCAAAAATTAAACAGTGTGAAGCAACATAAGTAAATAACCAAAAATACTATAATCAACATCAACAACACCTTTATCCCAAATTAATTGGGGTCGGTGGTAGATGAACTCAAATAAAAGATATGAAAAAGTAGAAAAAATAGAAATAAAAAATAAAAATAGTAATATATATATATATATATATATATATATATATATATAAAAGTAGAAAAGATGGGAAAAAGAAGAAGGGGAAATGAAAAGGAAAAGGACTAAAAAGGGACCATTTGGAACATAGGAATAACAACGGATCTAATCCTCCACCATGCTAATAGCTTTTATCCATTCTGTTCTAAGGCATACCGCCCGCCAATCTATATCTCACTCCATTAAATCTTGTTTTACTACCTTCCCCCAAGTATGTTTCGGTCTACCTCTACCTTTTTTTGTGTTGAGCTTTTGATAACAAACTTTTGTTCTTACGAGAGCATCCAGGAGCCTTCTCATTACGTGACCAAACCACCTCAATCTATATTCTCTCATCTTTTCAGCCACCGGTAGTACTCTTACCTTTCGTCGAATATCTTCATTTCTTATCTTATCCATCCTCGTATAACCACACATCCACCTTAACATCCTCATCTCTGCTACTCACATTTTATGCTCATGTTGCCTATGTGCTAGCCAACATTCAGCTCCATATAGCATTGCCTATGTGCACTATGCCATTTCATCCACCCTGCTCTGATTGTATGATTTACATCCTCATCGATCTCTCCACCTTTTTGCAAAATGGATCCCATATATCTAAAAGCATCTTTCTTGGGTACCTCTTGACCACTTAGATGCACGGGATCTTGGTCTACATCTCTTACCAGAGAAAACTCACACTTCAAATACTCAGTCTTGCTCCGACTTAATGTGAATCCTTAAGATTCCAACGTGCTTCTCCACAATTCAAGTTTTCTATTAACACCGTCTTTGTTCTCATCAATAAGCATGATATCATCTGCAAAAAACATACACCATGACACTTCCTCTTGAATATCTTTTGTTAGTTCATTCATAACTAAAGCAAAGAGATAAGGATTTAGAGCCGAACCATGGTGTACACCTACCGTGATCGGAAAATAACTTGATGTTCTGTTACAAGCTTTCACACATGTAGTAGCCCCATCATACATATCCTTGATTGCCTTTACATACTTTGATGGTACTTTTTTCTTCTCAAGAACCCACCATAAAACTTTCCTTGGAACCCTATCATATGCTTTCTCAAGATCTATGAACACCATATGTAAGTCCTTCTTCTTTTCTCGATATCTTTCCATTAATTGTCGCAATAAGAAAATGGATTCCATGGTACATCTTCCTAGCATAAATCCAAATTGATTTAAAGAAACCTTGGTATCTCTCCTCAAGCGATGTTCAATAACCCTCTCCCAGTACTTCATAGTATGGCTCATTAGCTTAATGCCTCTATAGTTAGAACAATTCTGTATATCTCCCCTGTTTTTGTAAATAGATACAATCATATTTTTCCTCTATGCATCCAAGCATCTTATTTGTCTGAAGAATCTTATTGAAAAAATTGGTCAACCATTTTATTGCCACATCCTCCAGGCCTCTCCACACTTCAATAAGGACACCATCAAGTCCCAAGGCTTTATTAGTCTTCATCCGGCAAAAAAATTAAAATAATTACGCATTTAATGTTTTTTTGTTAAAAATTACACATCTGTTGCACAATGAGACGCCTTCTTTGGGCGTCACATGTGACGCCCCAGTGAGGTGTCTCTCCCTTGGAGAAGACGCCCCATTGGGGCGTCTCATGTGCAACCTATATATACCCCACTTTCCTTTTTTCACTCCTTACTCATTTACCTCTCTAACCTCTCTCCAACCTCTCTCTAACCGCGGTTCGTAGCGAAGCTCTGCCAACGTAGGTAAGGTCATAATACCTTATATGTATACATTTAAATTACAGTGCTAGTTAGTAATACATGTTAGGATTGATTGTATATTAGAGACTTGGAACATTAGGATAGTCACTTGGAAATTTTGTGTCATGCTATGAATGTTGTAATGATATAGTAATATTATTATTACGTAGTTATTATTATTACCGATTTTTAATTATGTATTAGGGTTTAGCACATTAATTAGTGATTTATAAATAGTGTTAGAGACTTTGTAAATTTCGTATGTATGATGTTATTAATGCGGGAGTGCATAACTTTGTAGTTAGTTGAGGATAATGGCTGAGTCATCATCTTCTTCGGGATCTGATTCGGATGTAGAGCCCACCAATCCCAGCATGTGGATCATACCTGGGCCGTACAGGTGGGAGGTCCTTCGTAAGAGGACGCAGAAAGGTCATATTTCACAGCGAGTGTGGAATACTGAGCATGTAAGAAAGATTAAGACTAGGCGTGGGAAGCCACAAGGGGGCCCACCTACCGGTGCTATTCCACAGGTTGTGGAAGAGTACCTCAGACAGGCGGGTTTCATACATGTTGCCAGGATGCAACATATCCAGGTATGTTATTTATGTCGTTTTGTATTTATGTAATTATTTAATAAAATTCGTTAACACGTGATAACTGCGTAATTTATCACAGATAGATACATTTTTAATTAGTGCTCTGGCCAAGAGGTGGAGACCAGAGACACATACCTTTCGCATGACCCAAGGTGAGATGACGATCACCTTACAAGATGTGGCAGGCATCTTGGGCTTGCCGACCGACGGTACTGTCGTCATCGGATCGACCTCTGAGGATTGGCACGCTGCTTGTGCTGCTGTTTTTGGACATGTTCCAGAGGCCGGTGAGTTGCATCATTCCGGCGACCTCCGCATCTCATTCTTGGATCGGCATTATACCCGGTGGACTGATCATGAGGGGAATCATGCTGCCGAGATCTACTTCACAAAAGCCCACATTGCCCGGATGTTGGGGACTTGGTTGCTGGCGGACAAGTCTGGAGGTAGCAATTTTGGTTGCCGGCTTGTCCCGTTGCTAGGTGGAGGATTTTAGGACATTGGCCGATTCAACTGGGGATCTGCAGTTTTGACACACTTGTTCAGGAATTTGTGTGAAGTGACAGATGCCCGTCGAAGCGACATGGGTGGTTGCCATATTCTCCTTCAAATCTGAGCATGGATACGATTCCCACCCATTGCTCCACCCCTTCCTCATCATCTAGAGCCAGGCACACATTATGGATGCCGGCATGATTTATTTACTTCATTTGATTTCGATAATGTATGGTTAATAATGTATATACTAACTGTATACTTCTTGATTATGATTGATAATGTATGGTTGATAATGTTTCTGATTGACAGGTTTAATGTTGTACAAAAGTTTAAACCTCATGAGGTCACCCATTATCGGGCAACATTGGACACACTCTGTAGAGATGAGGTTTGGTGTTGGATACTTACGATGTTGTTATTTGTCTATGGGTTTATTTTTTTTTGTAACTCTATATATTGTTTCACATTTTGTTTGTAGGTGGTGTGGCAGCCATATATAGAATATGAGTGGCTTGACGTGACTCCAGAGCAGCAGTATCTGTGGCTTGCTGCCACACCTATTATCTACTTCCACACAGTAGAGGCATGTCAACTGGATAGGTGCATGCGACAGTTCGGTCTTGATCAACCCATCCCGGAAAAATCTAGAAAATTGAGAGGAATACATGATCATACTCTACGGGGGAAGGTTGAAGAGAACTGGAGACGTAAGCTGAGGGCTCACATTGATCGATGGAATACCAGGATTCAGCATATTGTACTGCCACCTCCATTATATGGTTTGATGTCACCTAATCATGCGTACATGGAGTGGTACAGAGAGAGGGGAAAACGCTACATATCTCGGAGGGCAGCAAAGATAGGGCGCATGGTGAGTTTTGTACTTATTTTACATTTGTTTCACATTTCTAACATTTTTTCGTAATATACAGATTGATGGTCTTGAAATGCTTTATCATGCAACAATGGCGGAGGTGTTTCCTCGATTTGGACTACAGTATATCCACGAGGAGATAGGCCGGATTATTGGGATGTTTCGTGAGAGTTCACGAGTTGATGAGCCTGGACCTGAGGCACCCCCCGTGCAGACACAGCCTGATCCTTAGTTGATCGTGGATGTTCCTCGTAATAGACGGGAGGGACGCGGATTAGGACGTAGACGTGAGAGAGTTGTTGCTGAGCCTGTCCCGATTATGGCACCTAGACCAGTGGTCGAGACTCAGGGATGGTTCAGACCTCCAGTCATTGGTCCTACTTACGGGTCACAGCCGATTTATCATCACGGATCGCAGTATGCGGCAGGTCCTAGTCAGGCAGCGTCTGAGCACCTTGACATGAGCGGGCAGGAGCCAGTTTTCCAGGCTAGTCCGATGGCTATGGCAGGAGCGGATCCGGCATAAAGATCATTAGTTTGTATATGATAAAATGAACCTGGAGAAAAGCGAAGCATGTATTCGCACCACCTTGGTAAAAAAAACATACGATTCCTCCCAATCACCGTACAGAATTGCCATCGCTTTCTGCTTCGCATACCACGCCTTTCTGTAGGAAACTTGAAAGCCATATTTAGCAGTTATCCTTTCTTGCACCAAAGAGATTGACACAGATGGTTCAGACTTTATCATCCCTGCATTGAAGAAGATATCAGTGCCTCGATAACATCGAACGAATTTAATTACACATTCGTGTTCATTCACACATCTAAAATACAAAAAGGTACCTATCACGAGATCTGCAATAACGACTGCATCGAGCTGTCTATGACCCTGGGAAATGTGCTCATTCACACATTCGTGTTTTCCACCCCATCTCGTTATTTTCCAATTTTCACGAAACACCGGTTTGATCGTCCTTACGCGCCACGGACAACTTGATCGTACGCACAACATTTCATGGACAACTTTGCAGGCGTGCTCTCAATTACAATGGCTTCTTGATACTCCCTAATAAGGTTGTGCTTAATTGCCATTTGGACATCTTTTTTTGTCGCAAATTCTTGATTGACAAATAACATGTCACCCAGTTGCCACGGACCTTGTATTGAAGCCGATCTAGACACTGAACCATCAGTACATGATTCTTGTTCGCTTTGATAACTCCAATCAATGTAAGAATAATGCGGAATTCCTTCCCAGAAAGGAATAACATCTGTGTCACATGCAATTGCGGATTATAATTTTTTAATACGAACTTACTAATTCAGGTATTAAATCAGTTATTTATTCACGCAGTATACAAATGGGATCAATTACCTTCTTGTGGAATACCAAACAGAGCAGACGCAACGTCATTCAACTGCGGCATTTGCGCGAGGACTGGTTGATGGAATATTGGGATTTCAGACGCACCCATCTCACGAGATTCATCTCCTTCTGAAGCACTAGCATCCTCCGCCAGAAGATGTTCTTCCATTGCCATATTTTCGTCGTCGTCATCGTCATCTTCGTCGTGCATTTCCCAAGTCGGATCATTTTCATCTCCCTCAGAAAAGTTACCAACTGGAGACGCATAAGCGGCAGGAGAAGCTGGAAGACGGGGAGAATTTAAATAAACTGACCTCACCGGTATGGGAGCATTCTCGGTTGCGACGAAGTCGACATACAACTCTAGAAAATCTGTCCTTGACTGGTTGCAAAATTCTTCCATTGTCATCTCCAAGTCTTCATCGTCAAGCACTTTCAAACTAATGTATTTATCACCTTGCCACACCCTTGTCGTGATCTCAGTGATACATTGGTTGTCTTGAAGACTTAACTTCTGCCGAATTCTCTGATGCAGTTCGCCAATGGTTGTGTTGCGTTGGATACGTGTCGGCCTTTTTTCACCTTCGAATATAACACATCGTCGACCTTCTACCTTCCTACCATTGTAATATAACACAACACGAACATAATCAGGATTTGAGCTCATTTTTAAATAGAATTAGAACTAAAATTCAAATACTAAATTAAAGATAAAGGAATGTTGGTGGAGAAGGGAGATATGAAGAGTGAGAGAAGAGGTGTGAATTGAATGGAGGGGGTGGGGAAATATATAGAGCACACATGTGACGCCACTTCCTAGAGAAGACGCCACAATGGGGCGTCACATGTGACGCCCAAAAGTGGCGTCACATTGTGCAATAGATGTGTAACTTTTTACAAAACAGCATTAAATGCGTAATTATTTAATTTAAATACATTATTTTAATTTTTTTGCCGTCTTCATCCTCTTTATAGCCTCTTTTAACTTCATGTGTATTAATTATGCGCACAAATCTTCTATTCAAATCATCATAAGCGTCCCCCAAGCCCACCTCGCTTATATCGCCATCCCCATTAAACAGCTTGTTGAAGTAGTTTCTCCATCTTTCATTTACATCTTTATCTCTCACCAAAAGTTTTTGATTTTCATCCTTGATGCATCTAACTTGGGTGAGATCTTTACTTTTCTTATCCCTTATTTTTGGAAGTTTATATATACCTTTTCCACCCTCCTTGCTCCCAAAATTTTTATACAAATCGGCGAAAACCTTTCCTCTAGCTTCTCACACTGCTTTCTTTGCATTTTTCCTCGTCAATCTAAACTTTTGCAAGTTCTCTTCACTGGGATATTTATGCAAAGATCTAAAGCATTCCTTCTTATGATTAATTGCCTCTTGCACCTCTCCATTCCACCGCCATATTTCCTTTGTATGAAATCCATTTCCTTTGCTTTCTCCTAACACCCTCTTTCCCATATTCTGAATACACATAGTCATCTCATTCCATATTGCATTTGCTCCTCCCTCAAACTCCCAAGGTCCTTCGTGCAACATTCTTTCATTGAACACTTTCTCTTTTTCCTCTTTAAGTTTCCAACATTTTATCCTTGGGTTCTGGGCCCTCTTCCTCATTGTAAGTACTTTGTTGAACCGAACCTCCAGGACTACCAGCTTATGTTGTGTAGCGACACACTCTCCAGGGTAGACCTTACAGTCGACACAAGAAATTCTATCTTCTCTTCTAGCCATAAAGAATCAATCTAACTACGATTTTGGCAGCTATGATATGTGATTAGATGTGACTCCCTTTTTCGAAAAAAGGTGTTCGCTAGTATCAAATCGTAGGCTAGTGCAACATTCAAGATATCTTCTTCAGTCTCGTTTCTCGTCCCATAGCCAAAACCTCTAATGCTTTTACCAACATGACCATTTAGATCTCCTCCTAAGAAAATCTTCTCTAGTGGTATTCCCCTCAAAACCTCCTCCAAGTCCTCCCAAAATTGGCTTTTATCATTTGGTTGCAATCCAACTTGGGGTGCATACACACTGAGGATATTCAAGATTAAATCAACCACTACAAGCTTAACCAGAATAATCCTGTCGCCTTTCTTTTTGACGTCCACAACTTTATCTCTGAAACTTTTATCGATCATAATTCCAACACCATTTTGACTCTTGTTTATACCTGTGTACCATAACTTGAAACCAGTTCCATCCACTTCCTTGGCCTTTTCTCCAGCCCACTTAGTTTCCTGCAAGCAAATAATATTCACTTTCCTTCTAGCAAAAACATATGCTAACTCCCTCAATTTATCCGTTAAGGTTCTTATGTTCCAGCTTCCCAATCGCATCCTTAACCCTTAGGCTGTACTTGCCCGCCACACTCGCTCATCTACGTGTTGGGACCCTGACATACTTCTCACCAAATCCAGGTGAAGACCTAGCGCCTTGCCTTGAGACAAAAAATGCTTATAAAGCTCACAAAAAGAAAATTGAATTTTTTCTTATATATTGTATGCCATGCAAATAATCTATAAAAACCAAATCACAACAATAAATTACTTAATGAAATGTATTTTTTTAGTGTGCAACTGACAGAGACAAATACAAAACAAAATACATTCATGTGGTTGTCAAAAACAAATAAAACTTAATCCTTAATGCAGAAACGAATGGCAGATCAACCTGTCTCTGAAAACCCATCCAGAGCTGGTTATATTGCTCTGTGCGCTCTCGCAATTCAGCCTGTAATGACTGGTTTGCTGTTGATTGGAAAGCGTCCACCTCTCGAACACGAGCTATCCAGGCTTGGGCCTCTCTGAACTGCTCATCTTTAAACATAATGGTCTCCTGAGTAACCCGTTGCTGAATGAAAAGGCATCATTAGGCCACGTATACCAACAAACTGAAATAAATTCTTATGGAAACAAATTAGATAAATATAAGCTGCCTACTTGTTCCTGCAAGTCAATAAGCTGCCTATCTTTTTCTTGAATATGTTCTTGCAGATCATGTATTTGTTTTATATGCTGAGCTCTTTCTGCTTCAGAATGGTCACGCTCCCTTCTGCAAAAAAAGATTTACCCATTGAAGCATGTAGAAAAATCCAGATGCAAAGCCTAAACATCCCATAAATGCATTTGGACAAAAGAAGAACCTGAAAGTTGCTAGTTCTTTGTTTTGCTCACGTAGAAGGTCTTGTTTAGCCCACGCCTAGCATAAAAATTGAAGAGATTAGCATATAATTCAAAAACAAATACTGCCCAAATTAAGATCCAGCAAAACTAATAATAAAAAAGGAAAGTAGCAGATCAACAAACCGCTTCATTGTCTAATTTAATAGAATGCAGTTCTCTGTCTTTCTCTTCTATTTTCCTTTCCAGTTCATGAATTGTGTGCTCCCTTTCACAAAGTTGCTCCTACAAGACCAGGTAAACAAGTTTTAGAGCAGACTAACAATCACTAACCTGTAAAAAGAAAAACATGTAACTTAAAGTACAGATGTTTAATTATAAAATGCCCCTTTTAACCATCATAAATAAAAACAGCTGCATCTGCTGTACCAAACCACCGTATCAATAGAAATTGACATAATCCACTAGCTGTTTCCATAAAAGGGCACAATTAAATGTCCAAAAGCATGTTATTCTTGTAAAATCTGAGAGAACCAGTTTTTCCAAAATTTGGGGATAGATCCCCTCAGACTTTGGAGTCCAAATACATATATAAAAGTTTGAATTTACACCTGAAGCTTGCTGGCATTGTTAGCATGCTCCTTGAGTTGAGCATCAAAGGTGTTTTGCATTTCCATTATCTCGGTTCTGGCAATCATTTGAGCTTTTAGGTCAATCTCCATTTGCAGTATCTCCTGTCTTTGTCTAACAACACTATGCATCTGTTGCTGCAAAATATCATTGTCTAATGTTCCATCCACTGTTATTGAACAAAAATCGACATCAAGAGGCTCTCTTCCTTGCTGCACCTTGAAAAACAGGAGGAAATCATCTTCAGGTTCTTAATTCCTTAAAACTAAAAAACAGCTTCTAATGCCATCACCTTACCTCATATATGGTTCTCTCGTCTGATTGTCCTATTTTTAGGTTTTCTAACTCCTGCACACCAGCAGATGTCCATCATCAGTCAAACAGATAAAAAAAAAAAAGTGCTAAGGCAAGCAGGCAACCTTTAGCAATGAGAAAAAGGTAAGCAATCAAAACTCCAATACTTAGATACCAACAACCTTAAGTCTTTTAATAAAGCCAAAAGTTCAAACCAAGTAAGGCTGTAACCTTAAACTTCAACAACATCAATATGAGGTACCTTCTACCTAAAATTGATTTATCAAACTAGATTCTGATGACAAGCAGACCAAGTTGTTCACATGGTGAGGGGTTCAGTGTTTTAATGCTCTGGTTTGGAAAAATTCAATCTGTCCAATGAAGTCACTCAATTCAATTATCATTAAAAAAATCAAGTTTGTTCACTTCAAAATACGTGCACATTCCAATTTCCACGTGCCTGGTGGTTTACGTTACCAACAAATCAGAAATAAACCTTGGGCCTGACTGACAAAATAGAATTCTTCCCTGAACCAAATATTAAAAGTTAAAACCACAGAGGCCTCTGCAGAAGAAAAAACATTGTGTAGATAAAAAACAAGAAACCGAATATCGTATTCTTTTCAAGGTCAGTCCCAGTAACAAAAAACTCAACTGAACCAGATAGAAAATAAAGTTGCTTTGCCCCATACACACACAGAAGAAGCATACTCAAACTAAAGACCACATTATCCACCTAGGCAAACACCATACGACATCTGTTTTCCCGAAGCTTAGTAACGAGAAAACCCACGAACACCTAATGCTTAAAACGACAAAACACAGACTCGCGTCATGCCAACATTGTTAAACTCTAATCCCAATTTGGAGGGGGAAAAATATTATTAAACTTAAAAGAGAAATGTTCGAATGAAAAAAAAAATTAACTCTCGTTTTCTCGATAACAAATGTAAAGCTCTAAATTTTGAAACAACGTATCTTCTCCATCATCCTCCGAACCACACGATAAGACAATGTGAAGTGTTTCGAAACGAAATCAGTACCTCATCCTCGGGGTTTCGCGCAGAATGATGATGCTCTGCAACAGCGCGCCATTCTTTCCGGGACGGAGGCGGCATCTGGAGAGAGGCACCGCGAGCGGCGGCGACAGCGGCCTCCATTGAATGAGAAGTGGCGACGGTGCCCCCACGTCTGCACCCAGTGGGTGAGGGAGTCTCGAGATAGATAAAAAAAAAAAAAAAAAAGTAAAAGAAGAAATCCCTAACCCTAAAATTGAAGAAATTGTGCGGAGAGAGGGAAGCGATTATGAGAATGAATGGGAATTGAGGGAACTAAGAAAGAAGGAAGGGAGAAAGGGTAGGGATTATTGAGATAGGAAAAGGGTTTTGGAGGGATGCAATGAAATGTAATGCAATACGAAGGAAGAGTGAGTGAGGAAGAAACTGATGAGATGATTGGCTGTGACAAATTTCGACCGGCACGGAGTGAACGCCATTTATAGGGTATTCTCACTCCATACTTCACTTAGATGTCATCCCATTGCCTCACGCTTCCTGCTACCGCGTGGATCATACTCTCTCTCTCTCTCTTGCTTTCTTTTTTCGCCTATTATATGTTCATATGGTGAATGATAATTGCATGAATGAAAATAAAAAGAGTAAATATCTTTTTGGTCCTTAGAAAATTTCACGAGACCCGTTTTAGTCCCTAGCAAATAAAAAGGCCCATCGTGATTCCTAAAAAATTTAAATTGGACTCATTTTAGTCCTTTTGAGGACTAATATAGCTCTTTTTTGAATTTGTGAGGGACCACGATTTCAACTAAATAGATCCTTTTGAATTTTTGAAGGACCACGATGGGTCTTTTTATTTGCTAGAGACTAAAACGGGTCTTGTAAAATTTTCTGAAGACCAAAAAGGGTATTTACTCAAATAAAAAAGTTTCAATCCGATTCCGACATGATATTTTGAAGAGGGGCTTAAAATTTTTATTCGTCTTATATTCTGGATTGGTCTCATAATTGATTTAAAGAGATAAAATGTATGAGAATATCAAGAAAACCTACTCACATCAAAGAAAGAAGTAATTAAGATATGTTTTAAAAAGGAAATAGTATGACTCGCGGCGTTTATTAGCACGGATTATATGTTTTAGCGTGATAGCATGAATTAAAGGGAGTTCTAATTTAGGAAGAGTGAACTTATAATGTTAATCTACAACAAAAAGTCTTCTTTTTCTAGGATTTTAACAACTTCGTAATATATATATGGATTTAATATTTTATATTGTAGAAAATAAATTTATCTCCTATATATTTATAAAAATATGTGGGGTTCATATTTTTTTCTCTCTCTTTTCTTTACATGGCTCACATGAGTCCCACACATTTTTTATGTGTGTAAGAGATAAATTTATCTCCTACAACATAAGAAACATTAAACCCTATATATATATTTATCTCCTACAACATGAGAAATATTAAATCATATATATATGTTGTAAGAAATAACTTTATCTCTTAAATACACATAAAAGTATATGGGAGTATGGGACCCATGTAGGCCATGTAAATAGAAGAGAGAGAAAAATAAAATATGAACCTCACACGCATTTATATGTGTGTAGGAGATAAGTTTATCTTCTACAACGTGGGAAACATTAAACCCATATATATATATATATGGGATAGGATATTGTGACAACCAAATAAAGTTACGACCAATGTTACGACCACTAATTTCACCGTTAGATTGAAAATCTTATCCGACGGTCCTCATTGGTCTCATAAATATCCCTTCTTTCATCGTCTCTCTCCCCCTTCTCTCTCTTTTCCATTTTCTCTCTTTCTCACTACACGCTATGTCATCGTCGCCGCCTCCCACATCCTTTGTCCCGACGGCACCGCCTGCCTCCGTCGCAGCCTTTGTCCCGACGGCGCCACCTGCCTCCGCCGCCGCATCCCGCGGAGAGAGAGAGAGGCGAATACACGATCTAGGGTTCGATTTTACCAGGTTCGATTTTCCCTTTCTGAGTTGTGCTCCCCTCTCTACCGTTGCTGCCCATATCCTCCCTCTATGCGTCTCCGGTCCCAAATTCTTGGGTATATGTCTGTCTCTTCTTTATCAAATTCAATTAGTTGGTATTTTTGAGTCGATATTTTTAATTTGTTTTTTTTTTACATTCCCATGAACAATTATGGTTTAGTTTTTAGTCTGTCTCTTCTTTATCAAATTCAATTAGTTGGTATTTTTGATTCGATATTTTTGATTTGTTTTTTTTTTTACATTCCCATGAACAATTATGGTTTAGTTTTTAGCCCTAATTGAATTGGAAAAATTATCTGGTTCTTGAATCGGTTGGAATTGAAGTAACCTGGTTAGAGTTTTAATTATTTTCAACTACATGTAGCAGAGGTTACTTTAGTTACATATGCTGATATCATAAGTTTTTATAGAACCTAACAATTTCCGGTTTCACGTTTGATTAGCTAATGAGCTATATCATAAGTTTTTATAGAACCTCTGTCCTTCCTTTTTATCCTTGTAATTGCAATGGGCTTTGTAATCAATTATCAATTACAAAACCAAGAGAAATTAATTTCTTTTAGTTTATTGTTCATAGTGAGCAATTGTGGCTTTATCTCTCTGCAGATGTCAGACAATGGGAATATATATCTTATTTTCTCCTTGTATTTGTGCTTTCTACTTGACTTAATCGTTTTCATATTTTACAGTAACTCTTACTGTATCATCGAATACCAATACGCGTGATTCTGGTTCTTGCTTTTAACTACCCATTGGTTCTGTTATTTCTTCACTATTTTATTTCTGATGCCCATCATGATGTAGGACAAAATTCCTTGGAATCTATCTGTAATTTTTTTGCTAAGCTGTAATTTTTTTTTTAAATTATCTTGACAATGTCCAAATTTGTTGTCTGTCATGGTGTAGGGAAATGGAAATATCGTCCCTTGGAAAAGAGGCATTATTTACTGCAGCAACTATTATCTCCATGAAGTCATAGGAGTGTAAATAACTGCCCATAGAAGAATTCCCTTCAGTTGTGCACATGATTCTCCTGTAAACTTAGAAGAACCAAGCATTATGCTTCTTTTAATTCAACAAAAGCTTTGTATTCATATTATCAAAACGAGGTATAGATTATCCATGTGATATGTCATTATACAAAGTATTAATTCATTGTGGTGTATTACAAAAAGTGACATATCGAAAGAAAGTTCATTGAATCAGTATATCAAGTTAACTAAAAATCTTCTCCGAAAGGATCGTTTTTCATTTAAATATAAATATGTACTTGAATTGAAGCAAGCTGTTATAGATTTTTCAGTTTAACCAAGCAGTTCGAGTCCTGGTATTCAACTTTGTTAAAAACTTGGTAGTAACTGGTCGAAATGGTTTGGTAGTATAAAAAATTGAAGCAACGCAAGATGCTACAAATTAAGAGTTAAAATTAATACTAATACTGTGAACTAATAATAGAATTAAACCACTGATAGATAGGTAAATCAAACAAAGCACACCAAATACAAAAAAACATGAAAAATAAAAACAAACCCAATATTCAAACTCCAAATCTCCCTTCTTTTCACACTTTTTGAAAGCCACAACGAAAAAGTAAGACATGTTCCTAAAAAAAAGGTAATTCAAAAGGCAATTCAAACCCTTTTTTTTTGTAAATAATAACAAATGTAATGTAACCCAAAATAAATAAAAAAACTAAAGTCAATGTAAATTTTTCTCTCTACATGTACGCTTATTATGTCCTCGTTTCTTGTAATTTCCACAAATATTAGTATTTTTTTATGCTTCTTCAATCCCACTATGAATTCTACGTCCCTGTGAGATATTGTGTGACTCCCTTTTTCGACCTTTCGTTTGTGAAATGTTAGGATCATTCAATCTCATCATAGATGACTCTTTAATTTGAGAACTCAAGTAATGTGATTCAAAATCCTCAAGACTAATACTATCATCAGGTGTTGGAAATTTTTCTAAAGATTCAGTGAGAGAATCAAGACCATCATAAGCGAATTTAGCTGCTTCATTGGACCTATCTGCAAGCTTAATAAGTTTTGAAACTCTATTGTGTATTTCAAAGCCGCGAAGGAGTCCTTCTCCATCAAAATTACAAATGTCCTTATTGGTACTAATTATATCATTTCCTTCCTTGCTCCAGCATCGCAAAATCATATGTTCAGGGATCTGCTCAACATTTTCAACCGAAAAAATAGCAATAATATGCTCACATGGGATTCCCATGAACTCAAAATATTGACAAGAACATCTAGTTTCTCTATTTTCCAACTTCATCTTCACCGTTGCAGAATAATCCTTGTCTTTCCTATTAAAAACTCGATAGGTAACCAACTCACCATCATTTCCAAGTTTCTCCTTAGAGAGAGGAAAACTATGAGAAAGTACATCACTAAACTTTGTGAAAATTGCACGTGTGTATACCTTAGCTGCATGCTCTTCCAATGGCATATTCAATGTTAAACGCCTTTCTTTATGCCTAGATTCAAAGTCTTGTTTTTTGAATGAATCATAACGAGCATCTACTGCTTGATTATATTTTTCTACAAACTCCTTTAAGGTTGTGCCAGATGTAACAAAACCATCAAAGAATGAATTGATGCTTTCACTACGCTGAGTGGTGCTCATACCAGCAAAGAAAATGGATCTGTTAAAGATTGGTATCCAAGACGATTTAATTGAATAAAGTGACTGCAACCACTCATTCTCATGAAGACCAAAGTTATCAAGAATACGTTGCCATTTGTCTTCAAAATCTTGAGTGCTCTTTTTTGTATGGATACAGTTATTGAAATCACTCTTAAATGTGGCATGCTGCTGATAGACATGAGACAATTTTTCTGGAAACTTTTTTGTGATGTGCCACACACAAAATCGATGCTTGCTTTTTGGGAAAACTTTGGATACTGCATTGGTAATTGACATGTCCTGTAAATTCAATGACATATGTAAGAATACAATGATTAATATATGAAACAATGGAAAACATGTACTTAAAATGATTATACCTGATCAGTAATTATGGCACCCGGATGTTTCTCATTCATTCCTCGAAGCCATTCCTTAAATAGCCACACAAAAGTATCTTCTGTTTCGTCTTTCAATAAAGCACATCCGAACAAGATTGACTGTAAATGATTATTGACACCGACAAAAGGTCCAAATGGCATTGAATATTTATTAGTTCTGTATGTCGTGTCAAATGTGATGACATCACCAAATAGCTCATAAGCTTGCCTGGACCTTGCATCAATCCAAAAAAAGCTTTCCATGCGATCTTCATCGTCACATTTAATGGAATAAAAGAATTTTTGATTTAATGATTGTTGTTTAACACAATAGTGTAACACAGCTTGTGCATCTCTTGTGTTATATATTCTTCTCCTCACATTTTTTAGATGATTATAACAATCTCGACTGTTAAATGATAACTCATCGCCTTTGAAGATGGTAGCTACTTTTCCTGTGGGCAAGCTTGCATCACTAAATTGTTCAACCAATGATCTTGCAGCATCAGACATTTTTTTGTGTGATCTGAGATAACGAACACTCTTTGGAGTCACAAGACCATGATTATGGTTGTCGTTAAATTGTGTAATTCTCCATATTTTTGTGTTTTGACTTTTATAAGCACTTAAAAAAGCTTCACACCCAACGCGTAATGATGATGTCTTCTTTAATTTGGTCTGAAAAACTTGAGCAATATCTTTATCATTTTTTTGTGGTGGATGACCCTGTCTAGCACAAACTAGCTCGAAGTAATTACCCCTCCTTGTTCGTATTCGGATTCCGAAACCTTTTACCTTGCCATATGTTGTATACAAGACCACTACATCCTTTTGTTCGGAAAATTCCATTCCAACCTCAATCAAAATATTAGAATTCTTTGTCGGTGTCAAGGGAATGACATTTGGAATGTTATCAGTTAAAGCATTCGATATGTCATCTCCTAAATTACGAGGCATCTCTTCTATAATTTCATCATCACTGAAGTTGATGTAATCTATTGGATCATCATCCATATTCAATAAGTCATCACCCAATTCAACATGTATGTCATTCCTAATTTCATCATTTAAGTTAATGTAGTCCAAATGCTCATCCATAATATACCTAAGAATTTAAAACCAATAAACATATAAATAACATTTAAATACTCTTAATCACAACAACAAAAAAAGATATACCTACCGATTTTGATATATAGTTGTTTCGCCAGGGTAATTTCAGGATAATAAGCAGATTTTGTTTGCTTTGAGAGCACAAGATACCTAAAATTGATCCGCAACAACTACACGAATGAAAGATAAAACAACTTTATGCTTTATGTCATGACAATATAATCCAAACAGCAAGAAATTAATACAATATCAAATAAAACAACTAATTCATCTCAATAGATATCCATTCGATCATTTATATACATGCAACATCCAGGCGGTGGAAAAAAATAATCCTACTGTTACAGGTGGGAAGACAAACTAGTAGAGTCATGAGATTGAATGATTGTGGTATAGCTCAAATTTGTATTATCAAATTGAACAAAACAAGAAGCAAGTAATTTACTACCTGTTTTAGATCATAATCAAATTTCTTTCCTTGCCGAGCATAAAGCATCTTTCCAACATGACCAGCACCATCCTACATTTATTTTTCATGCTCATATTCCACGCAAGTGCCCTTGTAAGAAACAGAGTAGCAAGATTTATCACTATGAAAAAAAGTAGTGTGATGATTTATTAGCTTTGTCCTTACAGGTGCTAAAAGCTTTCTACAAGGAAAAGAAAATAAAGCTATTTAGCTTTATCACCTGCTATATTTACTTATGTTAAAAAAGGAATCTTGTTATATTTACTAACCCCTCCCATTCAAGAAAACACGTGAATAACTTCCTTTGATTAATGCCATAGGATTCTTGTATTCTATTGTTTCTCTACTTTAAAAAATCTGCTATAGGTATATGTATATGCAATATGAGAACCAATATTCACTTAGAAACTTGTGCAGCAACAAGTAAGCAACGATACCAATGGCTTAGCTAACTGTTTCTTTACCATTCCATTTACCAATAATCTCAAAAACTTGACATGTTAAGGGTAATCCTAGAAATGTTTTTATTCATAACACCACTCATATTTGTATTCTATTTAGCTAAATGTTTTTATTCATAACACGACCAGCACCATCCTACATTAATTTTTCATGCTCATATTCATTTGAAGTTTTGAATAGTACAAACCAACATTATTGTGACAAAAGAATCAACCTCAGGTATTAAGGATGCAAAAAGACAATAACACATTCATATGAAATTAGATTCAAGCCCGGATGAGCAAACGCACAGATGGTGTTGCTTTCTATGAGAAGAATATTAAGGGGTTTTCATTGTGATCTAAGAGAAAAAAGAAGAACCAAAATTTCATTTATTTTACTCTGCTTCATAACAAAAATAATATTAAGAGATTTTTAATTGGTTCAAATTCAAGATTGTATGACAAAATTCAAATGATATTTAAACTCTGAGCTATTTTTCAGAACTAATATCACAAAAACTGTCAAAATATATGACCATCCAGAAAGGGAAAATCGAACCTGGTAAAATTGAACCCTAGATCGTGTATTCGTCTCTCTCTCTCTCCGCGGGATGCGGCAACGGCGGAGGCAGGTGGCGCCGTCGGGACAAAGGCTGCGACGGAGGCAGGCGGTGCCGTCGGGACAGAGGATGTGGGAGGCGGCGACGACAGAGCGTGTAGTGAGAAAGAGAGAAAAGGGAAAAGAGAGAGAAGGGGGAGAGAGAGACGATGAAAGAGGGGATATTTATGAGACCAATGAGGACCGTCAGATAAGATTTTCAATCTAACGGTGAGATTAGTGGTTGTAACATTGGTCGTAACTTTATTTGGTTGTCACAATATCCTGTCCCTATATATATATATATATATATATATATATATATATATTATCATAATATTAACAATTAATTTTGTAATAAATAACTATAATTTAACACTTTATTTTTTAAAACACTTCTCTTATTTTAGAAGAGCCAAATTCGTCAATCTATGTCAAGCATGACAATAAATAAAAGTAATTGTGTTCGAATTAATTATTTTTCTTTTATGGAAGCGCACAATTTAAATTTCTGACATTTTAATTATAAATGCTCACAGGTAATCCTCGAGGCGCCGAATTCCATAAAGACTTAATCGCTTCCGCATTAAAAAAGAGATCTCATCGCAACACTAGTATTAGAACCCGAGTTTAAAGGGTTATGAGTAGACAAGATGGAGACTGACGTTTCTCACAAAGGACATATATTTAAACTTGTATCTCATAATTACATGTACTGGAGGCCAATGATGGAAGATCATCTATACTGCAAAGACCTTTATGAACCCATCCTGAGAGCTAAGATGCCTAAAGAAAAGAACGAGAATGAGTGGGAGTTTATCAACAAAAAGATTGTAACCATGATGAGGAAATACATAGTCAAAAGCCTCTTCAAGCATGTGTCACTGCTATGATGCACCAACATCGACACCGATACTGACCTGAGACACGGGACACAATATGACATCCGACACATAAATTCTAAAAAATGTCATATTTCGACACGTTTAGGACACATTTTGATATTAAATAATATTTTTAATATATATAATATAGTTTACATTTAATGCATATAGCAGCTCATAATAAGTCATATAATCAATCAAATATTCAAATCATTATCTCCTAAATTCACTGACCCATAGAATCACAAGCAATCCCCACCAAGTAATATATATATAAATTCAATGACCCACTTGTTGTTTTCAAGAACCTAATCAATACTAATAATTGTTCCTTATTACACAACCTGAACCCAGCCATATCAATAGCACACCAAACCCAATCACTGAGTAATACCCAACACTCTAAACTTCTCTAAAGACATAAATCAAACAGTTGATAAATTCAAAACCCAAAAGTCAAAATTTAACACATTCCATTAATGTTACAAAACCCACAACACATGACAGATCTGAATCCAACCTAAAATCTGAACTAAGAAAAATCAACGACTTTTACCCAAAAATCAAACCAAGATTGATCTAGAAATAAATCTAGCAAAAAATAAAACTAAACTTGCTCTTGGTGACAGAGTCATTAACATTGATAGTAGCGAACAAGAGAGTCTCATTAGCCTACATATGATAAAGCCTCTTAACTCCAATGATAGTCTCTTCATAAACTCCAACGAGCCTATCCTTCATCTTACGATACCTTTTAGAATCGGTCTTCAACCCATCCTTGATGAAGTAAGCACAATCTTAAACTCAAAGTTATCCGTGGAAGCCAGGTCGATTGGTTGACCTGTGTGCTCGAAGAGCTCTTTGGCCTTAACACCTCATGGATTAGCAACATGGCGTCGCCGCCGTCGTCAACGATGAGGTCAGGTCCGCCGATGGGGCCCCAGTCAAGGGTGTGTTCAGTGCACCACCAGTACTCCTGAAGGGTCTCGCCCTTCACACAACTTATCAAAAAATTCATTAAATGTTTTTTAATTTTTTCAAAATTATAATTTTATTTATTTTTACGAAAATGCCAAAACGTGTATGCAAACGTTGATTATGTGTCTGACTAAGTCAAAGTCGCGTGTCAAGATAGTCAACGTGTCCCAAAAAGTTGGCAACATGTCGTGCTGGTGCTTCAGAGTGTCACAGTACACCAACGCTTATGAACTAAAGACAAAGTTGGAGTCCGTGATCAAGAATAATACTTAAATGAACAAAACACATTCGATGCATCGTCTTGTGAAGCCTGAATACAATAACGATCAAAGTATTTGTTGTAAACCAGTTGTTTAAGGTTAAGATGAAAATAGATGATGTGTTTTAGGCTCTACTACTTCTTAGCTCTCTACCAGATAGTTAGGATACATTGGTTGTGATGCTAAGCAACTCAGCCCTTGAAGAAAAACTGACTATGACATCTGTTACAAATAGCCTTCTGAATGAATGACCCAAGAGTAGAGAACAATGTGTAACCAACACGTACAAAGCAAACATTGTTGAGAACAAAGGATGGTCCGACTTCTGAGGTTGAATCAAAAGGTGGGGTTGTGACAAGTCTAAAGGTCGATCAAGGCTTAATTACGAGCTAACTTGCTTCTAACATGGGAAGCAATGCCATATGAAAATTACTTGCCGCTCTTTGAAGCGTTATCAAAAGAACAAGTAATGTTAAGTCTGACCATATTGAATCTATTGCGATTATGGCAAGTATACATATCCTTTCAAGTAATAAAAGTGTGAGTAGAGTATCGTCCCACGAAGATTAAGTCACCAAGTACTATTATAACTATTCCCTTTAAATTGGACAATTCGATTTGATTATTGAGAATAGTTATTGATTTAAAAATAAAAAAAATAAAAAGTAATAGCAAGAACAATCATGAACATGCAAGAACGATTGAAGAATGATAATAAAGAACAGTAGCCAGGGCACACTTCACCTTTGATCCTCCCTTATTGATCTAAATTAATTCTTATAATCAATTATCTCAATGGTTCGGATAATTCATCTTCTTCAAATTAATTGGTTAAACCCTAATGTCTTAGTGAATTCAACCCTTTAACCCAATTGGAATTCTAATGTCTTAGTAAACCTTCTTGAATTAAGCATTAAGTTCAACGAATTAAGAAGTCTGCAATTCATACAAGCTTATATCTAGATCATGCATAAATTGTTATTTCACCCCAGTTGGAATAAAAATCCCAATATGTCTATTGTGAGCTTTAACTCTCAAAACCCTATAAGAGTGATCAGTTCTAATAAGGATAAGATTTTTCATTCAAGGTAAAATAAAATTAATTGAAATAAAAGAATTATAAACACAATCAAAATACCAAAGGGTTTCACATCAAATATGTGACCCTAACTACAAAAGAAAACTAGTCAAACATAACTGACTTAAACAAAATAAAGAAATAAAAGAAAATAGAAAAAGTCATAAAGAAGAAGAAGCAAAAGAAAAAGAAGTTAATGATGCTCAATTTCTTCCAGTTCTTTCTTTATGAAATCTCCAACTCTGGTACCTGGTATTCTCCTCCTTCCTGAATGTGCCAATTTTTTTGTGTTTCTGAGAGTTGTCTTTTTATAGTGATGAAACCATATCTTTTAATTTTCTATAATATCTTCAATGGAATCTTCACTAGAATCTGCAATCATATCTTTAATCAAAACCTTAAAATCTTCCGTTTTATATTTAAAGGAAAACTTTCTTTAAAAATATTTAAGGGAAGATTTAATAAGATCTTCAATGAATTATATGATTCAGAAATCCAAAGCGAATCCACTTGAGCTTTCCAATTTATCTTTTTATTGAGATGAAAATTACTGCAAAATATAATAATTTTTATGAGAATATTACTGAGAATTAAATAAGATTTTAATTATAATTCTAATAACTTTTAATTACTTTTAAAGCAATTTCATGCTCATATTAACCCTTAATATATAATAAATTGGAGACTCATCAAACAATTCCCAAATTTAGACATTGTTGTCCTCGGCAATAAATTAGAATAAATAATATGAAGCATGAAAGTGACCTTGTGAGAAGAGACACATAAAATTCAAGCATAACATTGCATCAAACAAATAATTTAGAGCAGAAACTCACGAGAATACTATGCTAAACATGCATAATTTTCAATGTTGAGAATTTCAAACAAAACTTTTCAGTTTCAAAAAGAAAATTAGAATCTAACTTGAATACCCCTCACTAAGATAAACAATACACTTATCACTCAAGTGTTTGAAGTATAATCGCTCAATCCATCAGTATAATAGTGCTACCATAGGCTTGATCTTATTCTCAAGTTCCTAAAGATGAGGAACATAGATAACATGCAAAAATTGATCAAAAATTCTTTTCAAGGTTGTAACATGGCCTGGTTTAGAGTAGGAATATGTGAAAAATAACTAATTTTATTGTGTGAGATTGAAACACATGTGTGAGATTGAAAAGTAGCTAATTCAATTAAAGGCTTAGTCAACTCTCAAACAATGATTTCATTACTTCTTTTCAATGCATGGTTTTTATTTTATTTTTCACCATCTTTCTCTTTCTTCTTGCTAATAATTTAGAGCATAAATTTTCTTTCACATTTTCTTTCCTTTCCTTTGCACATCCTCTTTTCAGACAGATTTCTTTTTCCTTTGAGGTACTTTTTTCTTTTTTATCACTTAACTTTCAATGGAGAACTTCGCCTTGAATTTTTCTTTATCAGTATTTTAATCTCATTCAAAGGTGAGTCAACAGGAATATAAGTTAAGTAAAATATGGAAAATAGAACAAAAATCAATCTAAGGCTCAAAGGAGCTAGCAATGCAAAAAAATAAATTCATGTGTGCTATTTGGCCAAGTGGTTAACAAAAACAAAAGCGACTTTATCGTTTCAATTCATGCATGCATCACAGAGAAACATATCAAGTTCTAGAGTACCACTACAGTGAGACCTCTCTACAAAAATTAATTGTTTAGGCTCAAACCTCACAGGCTATGATTTCAAGCTATAATCTAAGGGTTTTAGTTTTATCCTTTAACATAACACAACAAACTTTCCTACCCTCACAACATTTTGTGGGGCCCACACTTTTTAAAACAAAAAAATAAATAAAAAATTATGACACGCAAAACGAATCTCTATAACATTACACAATCACTTTTCCTACAACATAACAATCATAAAACCCATAATCTAATCATATTTTTCACATCAAAGCAATATCTACAAAATTATCGAAAAGAAAATCACACAAACGAGCAGTCATATTCTCTAGATAATATTCAATACAATGCCATGACAGAAAAAATTATTATGAATTCTCACAGTGGTACTTGTGTCTCCTAAAGTTTATTCAGATTTATTAACCAATTCAGCTCGTGCTATCTTGGAAAAACATTCAGAGACACCAGTACCGGTAGAATAAGAACAAAAAACTAAAAAAAATAGAAAAATAAAGAAATGAAAAAAAATAAAAAAAAGTCATAAAGAAGAAGAAAAAGTTAATGGTGCTTAATTTCTTCCAGTTCCTCTCTCTCTCTAAAATCTCCAACTTGGTATCTGGTGTTCTCCTGCTTCCTGAATGTGCCAGCTTTTTTTGTGTTTTCAAGAGTTGCCTTTTTATAGTGATGAAATCATATCTTTTAATTTTCTATAATATCTTCAATGAAATCTTCACTAGAATCTCCAATTGTATCTTTAATCAAATTCTTAAAATCTTCCCTTTTTATATTTAAAGGAAAACTTTCCTTAAAAATATTCAAGGGAAGATTCAATAAGATCTTCAATGAATTATTTGATTCAAAAATCCAAAGCAAATCCACTTGAGCTCTCCATTTATCTTTTTTTTTTTTGGAAATCAATTTATCTCTTTATTTAGCTGAAAACTACTGCAAAATATAAGAATTTTTATGAGAATAAAATAGCACTTTAATTATAATTCTCATAACTTTTAATTACTTTTAAATCAACTTCATGCTCATATTAACCTTAATATATAATAAATTGGAGACTCATCAGAAACAAAGAAGAAAAACAACAAAAGGTTTGCCAATACTTATGTTGAGGTCTTCCTCTTTGGTGAAGATGATTTTTTAAATGTTACTTATTATTATTGTACTTGGATTGTTGATTTAGGTGCATCCTTTCATGTTACTCTACATAAGTGCTTCTCTCGTCATATAAGAATGCAAACTTTGGAGTGGTCAAGATGGGAAACCAAGTCACTAGCAAGATTGTTGGTATTGGTAATATAACCTTGACAACTGATGTGGGATGCCAACTTGTGCTGAAAGAGGAAGGCATGTGCCAGACATGGGCTTCAATCATATTCTACAGGAAAACTAGATGATGTTGGGCTTGTGACATACTTTGGCTCTAACAAATGGAAATTGGCCAAAGGTAGCATGGTGGTTGCCCAAGATAAAAGGAAAGCTCCTATTACATGATGCAAGGAATAATATAAGGTGGAGAAATCAAAGCAGTCTGAGATGGATGCAACATATAGTTGTGGCACCACATAAGCAAGAAGCAACTACAAATCCTAACAAAGAAAGGATTATTGTTTGGGTTGAAAGGACAATTGTTGGAGAGTAACCTAGAAGATGTAGAATATCCATGACTTCATCTATACCGATGTCTGCTCCATGATGAAAAAATTATTATGTGGGGCTTACTACTTTGTTTCTATTATTGATGATCATTCAAGAAAAGTTTGAGTATATTTGATGAGATAAAAGAACCAAATTCTTCAAGCATTCAAGGAATTCCGTGTCATGGTAAAATTGGAGACCGACAAAAAACTGAAGGCAGTTTGAGCCGACAATGGCGGTGAATACAGAGGCCCATTTGAAGAATATAGCAAGTTGGCATAAATAAGGCTGAATAAGACGCCCCCAAGATTCCATAACTGAATGAAGTGAGTAAGAGAATGAACATAATTACTGAATAACAAGTTATAAGCATGCTCTCTTATGCTGG